GTAAATCGGATAAAGAGGTGACATGGACGGAGGAGATCCTCATAACCAAATCCGATTTGGAGGAAAAGGTTGGTGGCCTTAGGGCAACTGAAAAAATGTTTTTCATCAGTTAACTCGATACCAGAGCGAAAGTGCGAAGTTTGCATTTGTCGTATTGTGTGAAAATGTTGTTCAACTACGTCGCAAGGCTGATGTTACCGATGTCTCGTCTGATCTGGTTGGGGTCTTTATACCCTCATGCCATGTGTCAGTTTGACCACCCTTGACATCTATTCCTGAATTCAACGAGTCTGAATGAAACAACGTATTAAATTCAGAGTTACCTTAAGCAATATGCAAGTAAAATATGTTTCCTTTCAGTTTCAGTTTGCACAACCATTAACCGTGCACTATCGTGCACCGGTTTCGGTTGCTGTCCTTGAGCTTCCCATTTGTATTAGGAGAAAGACAAGAAAGTTGAAAGTAGGATCAAAGAGAAAATTTAGAATTTCAGTAAACTAATGTTGCAGAGAAGTTGAGAAGATGCACGAGCGCAACTGTTTACGACACTCATCTATCTAACCATCGGGTACGATCATCCGGAGGTCCCCATCCAGGGAGCCTCACGGGACCTAATTAATTGTACTTCAAGGAAGTAAAAATAGAGCAAGTCCTATTTCTGAGACCATTCATGGTGCGCAACGGTTACACGATAAAGTTAAGGATTGGATGAACAAACAAACTTGTGAATTTCACATCCTGTCTTGAGACAGAAACTAACTCAAGGAATCTGTAGTGCGTTACCCCTTTTCCTAACAAATATTATCTCACTTTGCGTAGTTATATATGTCGGGATTTATTTGTCTCGTTTTCAAATCAATGAAAACAGCTTGTTCACCATTTTGAATTAATAACTTCGTTTAAATCCATGCGATTAGTGGTTGAGTTTATTGGATCTTATGGTAAATTTCACCGTAGAGCAACTGGGGCGTAAATTGAAGAGCAAGGAAGCACATGACTTTATTTCATTGAATAACAACCTCAGGAAAATTGAACACAGATCTTGCAGTTTGAGTGATCTGTTTTTTATTGGCCCGATTACCAGTATGGACCTGAGCAATACCGAATACTGATTCCGTATAAAATAATGGGTTGATTTTTCCTGTGAGCACCAGTTAGCAGGACTATTTATTCCCAGTGTTCCTTTGCCTAGTTAGATAGAAGAGCACATTTTAGGTCATTCATAAATGAGGTGAGTGCAAATATAACGGAAGCAAAATGGCCGAATTAAGTTTAAATGAAATGGTTACCATTACCCTTCGATCTCGGTTCATACGCTCGAGATGCTCAATGCACCGTACGGTTTCATGTAACCCGCGACCGGCGTCAGCAGAATGTCGTAGAGCGGGCTGGTGCACCTCTGCCCGGGGGGAGCGGACGGGTTTTCGGGCCACCCTGAGTTAGCCAGCTTCTGGGGGCACATCAGCTGCGGACATTGGATTTTGCACACCAAACTTATTGAAAACGCTCTCATCGGGAGAAGACTGGGAGCAAAAAAATTACCCAGAAAACGATTTAAAGGACGCTCAATGAGAGCAATGATGTCTCGCCCATGCTCTCGGAAACTGGGGTTCTTCGAGGTAAGATAGAAGTTGTATTGCTACCATCAATTAGGAATATTTGTAGTCTTATTTAAACTGAATTCTTCTTGGAAGGTCAACACTTCACTCTGTTCTGATAGTCTTTGTAAAATTTGCAAAACCTGCTGATCCAGTCTGACAGAAATCATCAGTACCACATAAAAACTGAATTAAATGAGGTTTTAATGTGAGCATATTGGGGTCCGTCGTTTTAAGAGCATTCATCCGTAAATAATTTGATCGAAGCAGCCCATCCTCATCTGCCACTATTCAAATTATGATGCTTTACGCCTATCTATTTCTGCACTTCATTAAAAAACTTACCTTGCATCGTACCTTTTGGCTTACCTGTCACATTTGACAAAATAAGCTATCATAAACCTCAATACTCTTGACATAATAGTTTCATTTGTAAACTTTTGTCCATCACAAGGTACAAATGAAGATCTAAAAATATTCTGTAGCAGAAACGTTTCTACATCTTATTCTCTTACTCAATTCCCGATCCTCTTTTGCACGCAGAACTCGATTATGGCTGAGCTTAAGACAAGAGTAGACGAACTCAAGATGGAGAACGAGTATCAGCTTCGTCTGAAAGATATGAACTATAACGAGCGCATCAAAGAGTTGACAGAAAAGTTCATTCAAGAAATGGAAACCCTAAAAACGAAAAACCAACTGCTTAAGACAGAAAAAGAACGCGAAGAAGCACATCACGAGGTGCAACTGCAAGAGGTCATGGAGAAGCATAGCCGTGAGTTACAAGAGCTCGAATCCGCATCCAATCAGAAGTTAATGATTGAATATGAGAAGTATCAGGAACTTCAGGCCACTTCACAAAAGAAAGAAGAGGAATACGACAAACAATTGAAAACCATGGAAGAGTCCCGTGAACGTATGCTGGAAGAATTAACCGAGTTCTACGACTCCAAACTGGCGGAGAAAAACATCGCAATGGACAATCTGAATCGGGAAATTAGGGAACAAACAATGGAATACGATGTTACCAAACGCCTCATTGAAGAGGATGCTGACCGTGAGATACTGGAGACGAAGATTCGATACGAACGTCGTCTGCGCGAAGAACGGGAAGCTAACGCGCGTCTGAAAGGTGAATCCGGAATCATGAAGAAGAAATTCACAAGTCTTCAAAAAGAAATTGATGATCACAAAGAGGAACTGAAAAAGTTTCATGCGGAAACTCAAAAACTAAATAATGTAATACGAAATCTTGAAAAAGACATTCAAGGCTTACGTAAGGAAATACAAGAACGAGATGAAACAATCCAGGATAAAGTGAGTCAACCTAGAGTAAAATTTGATTACTTGAGTTTGTTGAAGACGAATAATGTATTGAGAAAATGAGTCGGTAAGTGAACAGTTGTTTTCGGATATTCCTAGTCATGCTCTTACATATCATATGGTGGAAAAAATTCTTACATAATCATAGCCATTCGCTCATTTTAAGGTCAATATTGGGAAGTAGAGAGTAATGGGAGTGTGTATGTGTGTTTGTGTGTGTGTGTATAGGAAAGTGTAACGTGGTAGTTGATGTGACCTTTCCCCACTTGGGTCAAGTGATACGTCATGTTCCGTCTTGGTTTTCACACACGGCCAAGGCAATCGGAGCGCCTGCACCAATCGCTTTTGGGCACACATGTCAGGGCCTAGTAAGCGAATGGCGATCGTCTCGGCCATAGCTAGTGCCCAAACTCGGGCTGCCCTCGAGCGATTGATTGGGATGCGACAAACCACATCAAAAGCTTTCTCCAGATCGATCTTGTGCCCGGTGTCGACGAGATGCCCCACAATCGCGCTTGAGATACAGCCGGTTTTTCCCTGACTCAACCATCGCGGGTGGTGCTCCTTAATACGTTGAGACAAACGTCTTACCGTACGACCTATGTAACATGCGCCACAGACGCACTTAACAGAGTAAATTATCATGGATGAGGTCAGTTTCGGCAGTTTGTCTTTCACCTGCATTCGCATCACCGGCGATGTAGAGAACACTGGTCTAATTTTTACTGCGGGGAAGGTGTAATTTACAGCCGCTTTCAGTGATTGTACTAGGCTTTCCGTGTGTGAGTCCCCCTTAAATGGGATCCTTATGAATAGTTCTTTCTCGGGGACACAGATGGCGTTTTCCTTCTCCGGAGTGAGCCAAATGTTCTTATCGATGAACTTCTCCGGATAACTATTGTCCTGCAGCGTTTGGCGGATGGAGCGTAGTTCTTCATCCAGTGTGTCTGCTGAACAAATCTTCCGGGCTCGGAAGACTAGACATGGGACTAGATTGCGTTTATATTTCACAGGAACGAAACTATGGAAGTTGGTATATTGGCCATTCCATGTTTTCTTTCTGTGGATCTGTCTCCTTACTGATCCATCTTCTTTCCTGGACACGGCTACATCCAGAAAGGCCAATATGTTGTTCGTTTCAACCTCTACAGTGAATTCCAGTGATGGATGTGCTTCGTTAAACAATTTCAATATCTGTTGGATGTCATGTTTACGATCGGTCACACAGAAGATATCATCCATATATATCTACTGTAGTGAGTTAATCCTTCAATAGTTTGGCTCAGCGTGCTCCTTTCCAGTTTGGCCACGAAGATGTCAGCTAGCAACGGACCAAGTGGCGATCCCATAGCAACCCCGTCCATCTGACGATAGACAATACCATTAAATAGAAACTGGACGTTACGTGTGCAGCGTAATAGCAGTTCCTTTAGATTGGTGACTGGAATACCAACGTCCATATTCAGTGCTTTTATCTGATCACAAATGAATTCTACTGTCTCCAGCAAGAGTACATTAGTGAACTGTGAGACCACATCTAAGAAAAACATCGTCTTTTCTTG